CCTGATTTTAAAATTTTTATCAGCTCCCTGTGGGAATTTGCATGCTCTGGTTTTGTTCTCGTTTTCCCTGTGTTGCCCCAAACAGCTCCAGGTGCTCTACAGTCCTGAGGATCTGACTCACTTTTAAAAGTGCTGTGTTTTATTAATTTGTTAACATTGTTCACTCAGCATTTGTAGCCTCCCACCAAGAGGAGCACTTAATCCAGCGAACACGGGATTCATGCTCCGTGTCTGCAGTTCTACAGGGAAGGACTCTGTTTGTCAGGTGCTGGGTACCCATTGGTAGTAAAGATGACATCCCTTTTTTCCTGTGTCAAAGCACTAACTTAAGTTTTTATAGGGTTTTTACCGTTTTTGAATCTGGCCATGAAGATATCTGTTCAGTGTGAGCAATGGATGGCACTGGAAGACCCTTTTTTTGTGCTACTATGAGTCTGGATTGATTTTTGTTTTCTTCTTTGAGACAGTCTCACTATGTAGTTGAGGCTGGCCTTGAACTCACAGAGATCCTCCTGCCTCGGCCTCCCAAGTGCTGGGATTACAGGCACACGCCATTGTGCCTAGCTGTTGATTTTCATTTTTAGTATGTTGCCTTAGATTTGATAATGTTGAACCTAGAAAAGAGAAAGTCAAGATAAATAAGTTAGCTCCTGTCTCAGACTTATTTAATGAATCTTTCAGGCTTTCAAAGTCATGTTATTCTCCTGGATTTCACCTATTTTGAGGAAGATGTGGTTTTTGAATTCTTGTGCCTAACAAGCCAGCTAAATGTGGCATAGAGTTGCAGATTTTAGCTGATGCTAAGACTCATTATATGTTAAATGCAGCAATATATGCTGGTGCAGAAGGAAAGACATTGATTTCGACCAAACCCACCTTATCATATCTTACAAGAATTGTGGAATGTATTGAAGGTACTAAAAGAAATAGTACCAGATACAATCAGTGTAGCTCAGTGGAATTTCTTTTTTTGTTTGTTTGTTTGAGACAGGGTCTCACTATGTAGTTGAGACTGACCTGGACTCACTATGTTGCCCAGGCTGGTCTTGAACTCACAGCGACAGCGATCCTCCTGCCTCAGCCTCCAGAGTGCTGGGATTACACCATGCCCGGCTTTTTTTTTTTTTTTTTTGTACTGAGGATAGAACTTGGGACTTTGCACTTGAGAGGCAGGCAGCAGAACCACTGAGCTAAATCCCTGGCCCTTATCACATCAATTTTTACCAAATAGAGAACAGACTGTTCAGTCATGGGTATTTGGATTTTCTGTTATTAGCACATTTACTTCACATATTACTTCATACCCCAAAAAGGTAAAAGTGTCATATTAATATCAAGTATGCACCACAGGGATTCTATAGATAGAGAAACCAAAAAGCCTGGAATTGCTCACTTCTGTAGTGATGTAAAACCTGGAGTTGACACATTAGATAGAAAATGTGCATTACATCTGGAGACCCAACCATTAGCCAATGGCAGTTTTTATGCCATTTTCTATGTTGCAGGTGTTAACTCCTCTGTATTGTACCAGTTTGCACAACGAAATGAAATAATAAAATGTTTTGATTTTATTAAAACCCTTGGGATGCGATTAAGGAAAATCTGCATTCCATAATGACTACTAGAAAAGTGCCCATAAAAGTATGAAAATTTATAGCAGAAATCCTGGGAAGGGAGAGTCCTGTTTTAGAAGAGCCCACACGACCTACTGACAAAAGCAAACAAAGTCGTGCCATGTGCCCCAGCAACAAGGACAGGAAAACTGCAAGCCAGTGTGACGCTTATAAAATGCCAATCTGTAATCAGTGCCATAAGTAACTTTCCTTAAAGTGCTTTGAGATTTAATTTTTTATGTTACAAATACGTGATGGGCTTACAAATCAAAATTGAACATAAATATTTGTACTTTTTAAGAAAATTAAATGTATGAGTCCTGAAGACCCAGGAGTAGCACATAGGAGACAAAGTGTAGCACCGGGCCAGCGCCTGGTCGCTGTGGGGACCTGCACAGTGGGGTGCGGGAGGCAGTGGTCTGCGTGCTGAAGTGGAGAGGGAGGCGTCCGGTAGAGGCAGGACCTGGGTTCTGGTGCAGCGCCAACTCCTGCGGAGACAACCGGATCCGTCCGGACATAAAGCAGGGGCTCCAGTCACTGAGCGCTGTCCTGCGCCTCTAGCTCAAGTCCAGGCCTTGGTGATCAAGGAGTCAGAAAACTTCCGGGACCACCTGGGCCAGTGCACGACACCTTGCAAAGACAAAGCCAAAGATTAGATGGATGCAGGGCGTGAGGCGCTTCAGTGCAACCGGAAACAGCTGGACAGTGGGCCGGCAGGTGTGTGCGTGACCACCTGAACCTCCTTCCAAGAAGACGAAGGAGTCTGTCATCCATTGGGAAATGATAGTCTTTGCCAGTGGCCATCAGGCCTGAGGGCTGAAATCTATTTACAAAGAAGAATGGGAATCTTAGTCTGTTAAGTCAAATTTATGAACAAAGAAACTAAGGATGACAGCAAGTGTAAGATATTTCACTTGCCTCTGGAGCCTGGTTCTCCTGTGTTTGGATGCTAGTGAGATGTGGGGGGGGGTAAATAAAATAAAACTGGTGCTAAAATTTGGGTCAAAGATAGCTCAAGAGAGTGTTTCAGAGCCTAAATTGCATGTGGCCAGACCTTATCCTGGCAGTGGAGATTTACTAGCAAGCAAGACCCCCCCCAAGCCATCAAGATATGGATATGCATTTTTTGAAATTCTTTTTTGGTTTTTTGAGACAGGGTCTCACTATGTAGTTGAGATTGACCTGGAACTCACTATGTATCCCAGGCTGGTCTCGAACTCACAGCAATCCTCCTGCCTCAGCCTCCCGAGTGCTGGGATTACAGACATGTGCCACCATGCCCGGCTGAGAGTCTTTGTCTTAAAATTGCTTCAGAAGATGACAGGATAATGTCCCTTAGACTTTGAGCATATCATTGAAATGCCCAGAGAGCACACAAGTTGGGGGAAAAATTATCTATTATCTACTGCAAACCCCAGATAGCTTTCCTATTTCAAGTCCCCGGATGTTTACATTATAAGTCAGGTCACCACTCTATCTGCTAGGACTCTCCCAAGGCCCTCATCAAGGGTGGAATGACATTCCACTCAGAGCCAAATTTGTGTGGAGCTCAGTGCTTTGGATTTACCAAATATTGAAATCAAGCACAGTGGTGCACGCCTGTAATCCTAGCACTCTGGAGGCTGAGTCAGCAGGATTTCTGCAAATTCAAGCCAGAACAGCCTAGCACTTGGTGACACAGGGATGATATAAGAGATGAAAATAGGACCTCCAAGTGATATAAGGGAAATAATTATATTATAATTTCCAACCTGTTAGATGTCTGATACACTGAGTTTGTGTACTCTAAAATCGAAGAATAAATTCTGGGAACACCAGAGGTTAAGAGTAGGGAATATATATATTTTTAATTGTACTTGTTGAAATGTATTTAAAATAATTTGAATTGCAAAAGAAGTATAACATTCACAACAATTATTAAAAATAGGAAATATGAACAAATAATAAAGTCAATTCTGTTATCTGAAATTTTTTTTGCATAGACAAAAATACTTTTCCTATTAATATTAATGTTAAGAATTGCTGTATCTCCAATACTTAAAATTTTCTGATACATGTGAAAATATTTTTATATTGATAGTCAATATTCCCTTCTTTATATTTGTAGCATTTTTCATTACACATAGCAACTATTATTTATTGTGTATATATACATATATATACTACATAGTACTAGTAAGTGTGTGTGTATATGTTTCTATGTATATATATATATTTTTTTTCTTTTATTGAGTTTATTGGTACATTTTAGGTATACAGTACAGTTACGTTCATCATTGGGATCTTGTACCTTTATATGACAGGACTTGATTCTCATTTTTTCCCCTTGTCCCTGCCCTCCCTTTACCCCCTCCTCCTCTCCCCATTTACACTTTATTTCCATTTTTTCATTTTGTCATATTTTTTCTTTTCCCTTATTACCTTTCCCCCACCCTAACCCTTCCCATTCTCCCTACGCCTTTAGCCCTTGTCTTCCTATTTCACATGGTCAATTATCTCATTAGGATCTTATGTACTATTATAGTTTTTTACACCAGAGAAACTATTCGGTATTTACACATGTGTGACTTATTTATTTCACTTAGGAGTATATCCTCAATATGCATCCATTTTCCTATGAATGAATCTAATTTCTCATTCTTTATGGCTGAGTAGTATTCCATTTTATAGAAGGGAATATTTATTGAGAGGATAGCTCCTGACAGGCAGGAGGGGTTCTGAATGGGTAGCCAGAGACTCCACTTTACAGGGAAGTTTTATTTATTTATTATTGGTTTTGTGGGGTGTTTTTGTTTTTGTTTTTGTTTTGGTACTGGGGATCGAACTCAATCTGCTTGCAAGGCAGATGGTAGAACCACTGAGATAAGTCCCTGGCTATTATTATTATTTATTTTGTTATCAGAGAAAAACTTTCAGTTTAGGGTTGAAGAAAATTATGTAACTATCAAATGCTGCAAGAGCCTGGCAACAAAGGTTTTACAATTAAATTCTTAGGAGATTGAAAACAAAAGATTTTGGGAAACTGTCATTTGCCTTGAATAATTTAAGTAAATTCTTGCTGAAACAGATTAAGAGAATGGTTTAAAGGTTGTATTAGTCATCAACTTGAAGTACTATCACCAAACACATTATTTACAGATTTACTTATCTAGATGCTTGAAACATTAAATTTTCACAAAATGTATATATATATTTTTTTTTGTTTATTTATTTATTTATTAGTTTTTTGAGACAGGGTCTCACTGTGTAGTTGAGACTGACCTGAAACTCACAATGTAGCCCAGGCTGGTCTGGAACTCACAGCGATCCTCCTGCCTCAGCCTCCCGAGCGCTGGGATCACAGGCGTGCGCCACTGCACACAAATGCCTGGTGTTTGTGTCTTTCAGATGGAAGCTCCACGGTGAAGGCCCGAGTGCTTACCTGTGTGGAGGGGATGAATCTGCACCTCTTAGAACAAGCCATCCGGGAGCAGAGGCTGTACCAGCAAGAACAGGGGAACAGCAGCCAACAGGAGAGAGCAGCACCGAGCATCCCCTCACCGGCTCCGGACAACCCGAGAGCTGCTGACCTGCTGGAGTGTGGCCACTTCCCTGAGTGACAGCCATTTGTCTGGAACCAGAGAAAAGAGGGGTGGATAGTTACTATGACTCCTTCCCCTAATTTGGGACTGTTCCAGGAATGAGAGCCCAGAGAGCTGGTGTCACCCCTCCTCCCGGCAGGAGGCTGCAGGCACTGAGCTCCAGAGCCCTGGGGGTCACAGAAAGTTCCAGAAGATCCTCGAAAATAAAGGCCTGTGGCTGACTCCGCCTTGTGTGCACGTGGTGCAGTGCCGCCAGGGCCCAGGAGGGGGAGCTGTGGGGCAGGCAGCCTGCTGGGCAGAGAGGCTGCATCCGGCCCAGGGTTTCTGGTGAATCCTTTGCTGGGAGTCTGAGGGGAGGGTGCTGGGTACCCAGGGGCTGGGGAGGGAGCCTCAGGGTGGCCGCCCTGCTGAAGTTCTGCCCTCCGAGGAGGCTGAGCATTGCCCTGGGCCTTGACTATGTGTCTGCGGTAGGACTGTGGCTTTAGAAGCCCTTCTGGATCCCTGACCTCAGCTCTATGCTGTCCTCCAGGCCTGGGCAGCCCTTCTGGGAAGTCTTGTCTCCCTAGACCCTGAACACGGCTGGGCTGAGGTGGGAGTTTAGCAGAAGTTTGGACTGTCCTGCACTCCGTAGCCGAGCACTGGGCAAGAGGCCTAGGGCCGGCCCGGGCTGGGCGAGGGGCAGCCCTGGCCTTGAGCCAGGTTCCCCAGCAGGATGAGGGGCAGGGAGCCGGGCAGCCTGGGCCGGGACTGCACAGGTTGTTATAGGGAGGCTGGAACCGGGCAGCGGGGATGCTGCCTGCAGGGCACGAATACCCAGGCCCCATCTGATTCCCCCGGCTATGGCAAGCCATTATGGTGAGCCTTGACACAGGCCTAGCCATGATTGAACTTTGAGTCACCTCGCTGGCACGGACGTGCTCTCGCCCATAGCCACGGGCGAGTTCAGCTGGTAGCAGATGTAACCCATAATGGTTGTTATTGTTTCCCTCTGGAATGTGTGGGCGGTACTCTCGCTCCGTGCAGCCCTCGCTCCCATGCAGCTGGAGAGTATAAAAGGAAGAGGTTCTGTAATAAAGCAAGCAAGGAACATGAGAAGAAAAGTGCCTCTCGTCTCTCTGTCCTCGTCCTTTCAGGTTTAGGACCTGCTGGCAGGATCCTGACGTCGCGGCTCGCGACAAGTGGTGCCCGAACAGGGATCTGAAAGTAGATGAGGATATGTAATCCCGGACCCAGGTCTAAGGCAGCGACGGTGCTCCGGAGGACTGACCGCTGCGCCTGATCCTCGCAGTGAGTCTACCGTTCACTTCATGAACCCCGGACCCAGGTCGAAGGTAGCGACAGTGCTCCGGAGGAAGGTAGAAAGAAGGTAAGAAAAAATAAAAAGGTAAAAAGAAAAAGTGAAAGGTAAAAAGAAAAAAAGTGATAGAAGGTAGAGAGTGTCAAGTCCATTAGGGAAGGAAAAAAAAAAAACCGGACCCAGCGAAGGTAGCGACAGTGCTCCGGAGGAAGGTAGAAAGAAGGTAAGAAAAAATAAAAAGGTAAAAAGAAAAAGTGAAAGGTAAAAAGAAAAAAAGTGATAGAAGGTAGAGAGTGTCAAGTCCATTAGGGAAAAGGAAAAAAAAAAAAATGGGACAATCAGAATCCAAAAGTTATCTAGCAAATTCAATTCAGAGCCTACTGAAGGCAAAAGGAGAAAAAGTTGAGC